GTTTAGTATCAGGAAAAATTCTTAAATGATGATATTTAACTGAATCCTTCCTCAGGTTTTTTCAGTCTTTTCAAAACTAGTATGATGAAACTGTTTTACACTAGTACTTCTTTCCTGGCAGACTGTACATGCTGGCTTTGAAATGAAGGCAGATTTATTATGTGCTCAAGAAACTCAAGCACATGCCAGATTGTGACTAAAATAAAAATTATTTTAAACAATATACCTGTACAGTAAAACTTAAATAAGATGTGTATTAGCAAGAGTAAGATTTTTCCAGCTGGACAAAATTTAGTAATGGTATCGAAATATACATTTCCAACTTACATGTCATGGCACAGTAAGGCAGTCAAGGTAAAAAAATTAAAAATTTAAATAACATTTTACTTGTCACAAAAACAACTTAAAATGTTGCCTGTATCACCTTGGAAAACAAAAATAAACTAGAAAGCTTCAATTTTGTTCATGGGGATATGATTTTTAGGTCAGCACAGTTAGCTCACAAAACAGACTAGGTGGATGTATCCTCACTTTTTAATACTTTTTCAGCATTTCTAACATAAAAACTATTGTAACAAGGAAACAATTCTAGTTATAATATATTTTGTAAAAGATGTTTCATTCCCACAAGAGAGAAAGTGTTGTTTCTTTTGTCTGGTAAACAAAACCTAAACTTGTACACTAACAGACCTGACTTCACTGGGGCTATCACTTAAATAGTGACAAATGTGCAAGTATTTTTAGACTGATTAAGCACACCATCTCCTGCTCAGAGCTTACACCTTAAGGGCCCAATCATACAAAAAGAATGCCTTTGTTCAATTTATACAGGTAGAAATAGACCCAATAAATGCAGAGATATTTGCAGCTTTAGGGATCCTACAAAATAAGATCTTTTTCAAAGTGATAACAACCATCAACTAATATTTAAATCAAGGGGAGCTGAAGGCACTAAGCATTTTAGGAGGGACTAAATTAAAATTCCCTTTAAGTTAATAAACGTCCCTCCTGCAAAACAACACCCATTACTATCTATGGGCTTTGAAAAAAGCCCCAGGAATGCTTACCACGTTGCTGGACTGAGCCTTAAGAGGATCACATCTCAGTAAGTAGATGAGTATTCAACTTAAGTCAGTGATATTGTTTCACTGAATTATTACACGGATTTGTTTTTGCTTTAGTTTTTCAGTTGCTTCCATTTCTTAGCACTACCCTATGAAGTGGGCTGGAGTTTGCATTTTAATTGTATTTTAAGGAAATAAAAGGGGATTGATTCAGGAAATGTGCTCCAATCATAGACAAACAAATGAAAGAAGTCAATAATAGGGTTACCATACATCTGGTTTTTCCCAGACACGTCCTCTTTTTTCTCCCCCTGTGCTGCATCCAGGCTGGTTTTTAAAATAAGAGCAAATGTCCAGGGTTTTTTCCCCTCTTCCCCTGCTCTCCTAGGCTGGCTGCTTGGGACTGGGAGCAGCAGGCAAGGTGATTGGCTGTCGAGGGTCACATGCTCCCTGTGGGGGCCCAGGCAAGCCAGGGAGAGACAGGGAGAGCGAGCACGAGAGAGCAAGTGTGTGTGTACAACACAGGAGCTGCTTGGGCAGCAGGACTGGTGGGGGGTGGGGGTCTACAGATTGGGAGTGAGGGGCACCAGCAGAGCTGGGGGGCAGGGGGTGCGGGTTCAGAGTGCAGGAGCACTGGAAGGGCTGGGGAGCAGTGGGCTGCAGGTCAAGAGTGAGGGGCAGAGGCAGGGCACAAGTATAATCACTGCCCTTCTCACAATCATATGTCCTTCCCTCCACCCCCTCCCAGATGTCCTCTTTTTTGATGCTGGAAATATGGTAACCCTAACTTTCTCATCGATGCTCACTGTAGTCAAGTAGCTATCACATTTTTTAAGCAGAGCTAAAAAACATAAAATATTAAGAATTCTTATAGGGATGCATTTGGTAGCCGTGTTGGTCAGAGACAAAAAGGAATGCAAAACTCTAGAACTCTTGGTTCAGAGATGATACTTTTTATTAGACCAACTAAGAAATCACAAAAAAAAAATCTTTTTCTGCAAGCTTTTGGGCTCACACACCCTTCATCAGGCTCAGGGAAAATTAAAGATGGTAAAAAGTCCCCATAGGTAAGAAGTAAACTTCATTTTTGCACATAGGAAGCTGAAGATGGAAAACTGTCTCTCTGGGTCCATGAGAGTGTCTTTGTGAGTTGCTCTTTGCTGTGCAGATCAGGCAGTATTCTTTCCCTGGTGGTATCAGACAGCAGAAAGGCAGGGGGGCATAGAAATCTTCCTTGTTGTTCAGCAATGAACCAGAGTTCTAGAGTTTTGCAAGACTCCTTATATACACTTTCAAAACGATGAAATCAGTACACATCAGTTTAAGTCTATATACACAGTATTCAGCAGATATCAGAAAAACAATATTAATTTCACTATTAGTAAATGGACTAACCAAACATTATTTTTCTTGAGTGCTGGTTTGTTACTGTATGAGACAAAAGCATTAAGAGCATCTGCTCCATTGTACTATCAACCTAAAACAAAGGACAGTCAAGTAAGATAAGCAAGAACCAGCACTGGAATAAGCAAGAATTTGACAAAATAGATAGAACAAGTTCCTTAATAACTTCTGAAATAATGTTATAGTCAGGAATCTGGTTTTCTGTTTTGTGCAGAAAAACACAGAAAAACCTGGATTTTCCCCTTTAAAGTGGGAAACTGCTGGTAAGGAACAAGCCATGGGCAGGGGGCAGCGGGAAGGCATGGCCAAGCCACTGTGGGGCACTGCCCAGCTGTGGAGCTGTGGCTTCCCTGTGCCTCCACCAACAGGGGCTGAGGCTGAGTCTGGGGCCCTCTCTCGTGCCCAGATCCTGATCCCGTGGGAAGGGAGGAAGGGGAGGAGGTGCCAGGCCCCCCTGAGCAGTCAGGCAAGTCCTTCCCGTCACAGCACCAAGACTCCCAGCTGTGCAGTGGGTCTGCCTGACCCCACTACAGCAGTTCAGGCAGAGTGACAGGCTCCCTGAGCCTCCCACCACTCTTCTGCCACTGCAGCCTGAACCTGGCAGGCTCCTCCCTGCTGCTGAGCTAGCCCTTCCCCAGCTCACCCTGGGAGAAAGGTATCTGGTTCCAGCAAGGCAACCTCCTCCTGGTATGCTGCATCCTTACCGCTCTCACACATGGCACTGGGGCCACTGCGGGCCTGGCTCAGGCCTAAGACAAGGCTCAGCATGTGGTTAGCTGAGCCTGAGGAAGCAGCATAGCAGCTGGAGTGGGCAGCGCTGAGTCTGAGGAATTGATGCCAGCCCCTCGCATGATGAGTGCAGCCCCAGGGCATTCCTGGAGGGTGGTGGCACAGCAGGGATTGTGTGGGCAGCATTAGGGCTGCAACAGCAGCAAGCAGAAGGCTTCTCACCATGCCAGTCATGGCAACTTGGCTGGCATGAGGCTCCTGGTGGTGGCAGTACTGAGTCTTCCCACTCCACTGCTTCTGAGTTGGGTCCTGCCCACTGGGCTGTGGAGGCAGCTCCTGCCTGGTGCTGGTCTGGGCCGGATGCAGCCCCATACTCCACTGTCAGAACAGATATCTGGGGGGACACAGCCCCCCCATATCCTCATGATGTGTTGTCAGTGGTATGACCTATGCCCACATATCCCCTGCCTCACCGACACACCTCCACTTCCTCACACACTGGGGGCCTGGAGGCAGCTGGGGGCTTCCTCCAGCTGGGCTGGGTGGGACAAGGGGCTATGGGTTGGGAGTGAGGAACACCAGCAGGGCCAGGGAGCTGCAGGCCGGAAGTGAGGGGCATTGGCATGACCGGGGGGACAAACAGGGACTCTTGGGTCAGGAGTGAGGGGCACTGGCAGGGCTGGATGCTGTGGCTTGGGAGTAAAGGGCAATGGGAGGGGCAGGGGCAATGGCACTGGCATAAAAGGGCTGCTCAGCACCACAAAGCAGCAGAAGGGACAGATGCAGCTGGACCTGCATCCTGATGAGCAAAGGGGGCAGGGGGAGCTCTGATTTTCCATGATAAAAAAAAAACCCAAAATCAAATGTCAAAACATATAGGTATTTAGAATTTATTTTATTATTAATGACTGAGGCACTGGTAGGCTTTCAATTTGCTTTAAAATTGTAAATATATCAATAAAGCATTGTGTTCAACTGATACCTATATAGTGGTGTTGCATTTTAACCGCAGAAATATGTGGATTTTGGAAGGATTTTAAATCAGATAGTTTTGGATTTTTTTTCTTAATCAGAGAAAACCAGGCCAAGGTCCTAATACACTCTAAGGCAAGGTCTATGACAAACTTGGTCATAATACACTCCAAGGCAGGCCTGAGTCAAGTACACTAGTATTCTTAGCTCAACAGGACAGTGATTTGGGAGGACAGTGTTGCATATTCTTTAGCGTGGACTATTTTTCCAATTGAATTTACTGGTGACAGCCCAATAAACAACTGAAGTCACATATTCTCTCTCCTCTCAATAGCCAAGATTTATCTGTCTACGACCAATTCTCTCTCCCCTACATGCTTCCTTAGCTCCTCCAATTCTAGACTTCTACTCACACCTGTCAAACTCCTTTTTTTATTTCTCAATACCAGATAATTGGTCCTTCTTTTCTAGACCCCACCACCTGTGATGGTCTCTATGCCTCTCTTCAAACCCCCACCTCATTAGCAATATATATTCCTAAGCTTCTTCTCAGGATACAACAAATCTTACTTAGCAAGACATTCTATTTCCCATAAGTCTCTATTTTGCACCTTCTAATAGCCACTGTACTGTATCCCACCCTGGTTCAACAATACCTGCAAATGCTGCCATTATGAAATATGTATTTTTATTAGACTCTAAGTAACTAAAATTTTATGTTATTTTTTAAAGTGTATAAAAAGCTAAATAATGAAATTGTCCCAGAGAAATCTTCTTAATAAAAACTTAGGACACTGTTATGGAAAAACAGTCAAATTGAAAACAACCAACCTGTGCCTTCCTCATATAAGCTAATGGTTCCTTCATTTGCTCAGCGGGAGCCGCTGGATGACAGGGAGAAGGGAACCTTGAAAGAAAAGTTTTAAATGTTCAGATTATTATTTGAATTCATTAACGTCTCTTGCTCTTCAGGGAAACCTAAACATTATTTTTTCTCATCTTTTTTAATCATGTTTAGAAACAGTATAGCAACATATACAGCAGTCATTTGAAACCCCTGATCAGACTTTAAATTTTAAAAAAATGTTATCAATTAGCAAATGCCCATAATTTATCTGCATACTCTTAATTCAGGAAAAAAACCACTTAACAACATTATAGATTTCAGTCATGGTTGAACTATGCCTACTTTTTGTTTTTCAGAGAGGACCATAAATAATAATGTTGTGTATGGCAATACAAACTTGAAGAACAGGAAAGCATCACATAAAAACATACTCTTCTCATCCTCTGAAGTATCGCAGATGTATAACAAAAATGCAAAATAAATATTCGAAGCTTTAGCTAAGAATGTTAATATAAAATTGAAAGTTCAAAAGAAGTTGCCACATTTCAAGTATTTAAAACAAATGAAACAACTTTATCATTAAAATCACTTCAGAATTAATCTTTATAGCCATTTGGAATTTTTTCCCTTTCAGGAAATAATATTTCTTCAATAAAGTCATTCATTAACTTAATAAGTTTACACTTCAAATAGTTATTGAACATATATACAAGTAGCCAGTAAAGCTTCAAGGCATTTATCTAACTGATCTGGAATCTTCAGCTATGAAATGCATAACAGTAAAACACAAAAGCTGAAAGAAGAGCATCTGGTTGGAATAAAGAACACAAAATGTAAGTTACAAATACCAAGGAACATGCTGAAGAAATAGGATAAACAATCAAATCCTGCAAATGCATTAGTAAAGTAATAAAAAGTTAAAATGTAAAGGTATTAAAGAATTTGGGTTTGGATAGGGATGATCCTGCCATGGGCAGGAGGCTGAGCTAGATGATTTCTGGAGGCCCCTTACAACCCTACTTCTAGACAATTCTATGAAATGCTATTTAAAGATGAGAAAAATAGCCCCAAAAATAACTCAATTAATAAAACTTGGAAAAATTCAAGTGACAATACCAAATCAGCTGAACAGAATGCAAGGTATGTTCAAATGGAATGCAAGCAAAAAATATTGAATAAGAAACTAGTGTTGTCCCCGTGGAGAAATACCTACAGATTTACTATAACTTTTATCATGACTTCAATGAAGGCAAGAACATTGAAGTTCTAGGACACAAGTCATGTTTCTACTTCTGTGTCCCTTATCTGTATTATCATAGTGCCTTGACAGCTGAAACAAGACAGACAGGATTTCAAGATGCTACAGAATGATATTGGTTGGGAACAAATTCACTACTGCTGAGGGTGAGAGGTGTCCACTGTCCACACATCCCAGGTAGAACAGTCACCTTTTAGGTCTTGAAGTGCTGTGGCTCTGACACCAGGGAGCAGGGATAAAGACCCAGTCCAGCATACCTTGTTGGAGTGAGTGATGGTGGGGAGTGCTTGCACCCATGCTTGAAAGGGTACGCTGAAGTAGGTGAGTGAGGTGCATGAGGACACAGCTGGTGTTTACAAAGACAGCTTTTAAAGAAGAAGCAGTAGAAAGGGAGCTCATTGATAAAAAGTGCCAACAAAAGGTAAAACAAGGTGGCAGCAGAATTCTGGCTGTGGAACAATACAGCATGGGATGCTTGGAGAAACAACCAGGCCTACATCATGGTAAGCTTGGTGTCAACAGGTAGCACAAACTCTGTGAAGCAGTTCAAAAGAGTACCTGGTTTTCCAGGTATTTTTTTTTAATCATTCCAGGCAGCTTTAAACCAGTTAAACAGGCTTCTATGCATGGCCATTTCATATTTAAACTGCACTGAAGCCAGTCTAAGTGTTATATGTGTCCATATCCAAAGTGGCACTGAGGTGACTTCTAAATGACTAGGTCTCCAAGCACTACCTTACTTCACACAGTCAATGAACCTACTTTTGTAAAACACCATCTTAGCAAAGAGGAGAAGACCCCATTCTCCTTTTGCCCAGGACTTTATTAAGTAGGGCATTTGCCTGGGAAATGGGAGACCTGGGTTAAAAACACTTCTCACCTCCACCAGGGTTTGAACCCATAATTCCACTTCCCAGAAAACTGCCTTAAGCCCCAGGCTATGAACCAATAAAACAAATCACAATGTTAATAGATAACTAATTTTTAAAAAGTGAATTTCATGAGATGTTTTCAAGTGTTCATTTGCTGTCCTTGGCTCTTTTTTTTTTTTTTTTAAATAAACTGAAAAAGAAACTGTAGATCAGAAACACATTAGATACTCCTCACATGACAGGCACATTACTGGATAACACTAACATACTAGTCTCAGATAAGAACACATGATTCAAAAGGAAACTTTACACATAACACCTTTATTATAAAAATAATGAATAGAAAACTCACACATTGAGTTCACTGTAAACAGCATTCTGAAGCTTCTTTTCCCATCCTGTTAAAATAATAATAATTATAAAATCATGTTGGTGTTCACTCCTGAAACAATTTTGACCTTGTTACGTAAAGCATGAATGAAGGGGGTGTTTTAAAAACCACTCAAGTTTGTTGTGCTTCTTTCAAATTAGCATTTACTTAAGTTCTCTCCATCTTTTTCAAGCTATGCCCAAGTTATGAATTAAAGAAAAACTGCATTTAGAGACTGCTGAAAGAGTGAAGACCAAAGTTAAAGGTTGCTCCCACAGAAATCATATGCTTCCAAATAACACTAAACACTCTTTTTATCTTAACCTTGAATATTACAAGATACTACTCTATCTTGACTATACATCATTGGAACCAATGCTGACAGACATAGGATTAGGTATGTTTCCAGTTCAGCACATGCTAAGGTACTTTGCATGAATTTGGGAATAAGGACCTAATAATGCCTCAAAAGTTGGATCCTTATATGGGAGTCTTAATTACGCCACTGGGATTTGGTTTGCAGTGGCATAATTAAGATGGGATGAAAGACATAACCGTCTTGGATGCCAATAGGGACAGGGGACAAAAACAAAAACCAGCTTTTTGTTACCCCTGTATACAGCAGCTGCCCAGGCACCTGACCACATTCTTACACTGCTGACACTTTGTGCGTCTGATAACCTCTTTGCATTATCTGGCGTAAATGACAGGACTGGGCAAGGGCTAGACAACTGTGCACAAATACGGTGCATCTAGATGAGATACTGCAATGTCACAGAGACACATCCAAGATAGCGTTGAAGACAGCTGAGGTAACAACAGCAATGTATTTAGTGCAGAATTCTGCCCAGGCTAATTAGCCATGCTGAGAAACAAACCATCTATTTTTTGAGGAAACGCAGAGGTCTCTCTTTCTCTCTCTTCACATACATACACATGTGGGTGTACAGTGAGGTGAGGGCAGCACAGCAACCGGACTCCGCTTCCTCGCAGCCCCCATGATGGTGGCAGCTCACTCTGCCTGGCTACTAAAGGTGCACCAATATATCAGTTAGCACCAGTAAAATGAAAATTGACATTATCGGCAATCAGCTTCTTTTGGCTGATGTAGCCAATAACGTCACCAAAAAATGCCGCAAAGATACGCGCAGTCTTAGCATGCACACGGCTAGGAATGCAGCCCAGCAGCTTGGAGAGCAGCATTTGGCTGGTAAGTCTGTGTGGGAAAGAAGGAGCATGGGTGGGGCAGATTGAGGGCCTCACAGTAAGGGAGGGAGTGGGGCTGCGGCAAGAGCAGGCATTGCCCAGTCGGGACGAAGCGGGGTGACTCCCCACTGCTGTGCAACCCCCCCCCCCGAAAAGACATGGGGGCCACATGCCCCCCGATTTGTGCATGGGGTGAGGGCAGGCTGCCTGCTGCGGACTTGGAGCCAGGGGCTGCAC